TCCTCCTCCTCCTCCTCCTCCTCCTCCTCCTCCTCGGGTCGCCTACGGCCCGGGGGGGAACTGTGCACTGCCCCCCCCTCCCGCTCCCCGCCTCCCCCGCCTTCTCCCTGCGAGGAGTGTGAGGGCGGGGGAGTGACCCAGTGGTAGTGCCGGGTCCCTCCCTCGCTCGCTCCGTTCCCACTGTTCCCTCCGTTCTGTGTCCTGCCAGCCTTTTATTTCATCGTTCTTTTCTGTCCCTCACTCTCTCTCGCTCTCTCTCGCTCCCCGCCCCTCTCTTGCCGCTGGACATTTGTTCCCCCCTCTCTTGCCGCCGGACAGTTGGCGTCTACCGTTTCCCGGACCGCGCGAGCACGCGTGCGGACTGCCCCTGCCGCTCTGCGGCGTAAAAGTCCTGCCGGCCTGCCGTTGCTGTCCCCTCCCCCTCCCCCCTCATGCCTCCGCGCTCCTCGCTCCTCCCCCCCTTCTATCTGCCCTCCGTTCGACTTCGTTCGCCCACTCTCGTCCTTCCAAGTTCTCCTCCCTCCTCCTTGCTCGCTCCGTCCCTCACCGTCAAAGGTCAGCGTGCAGATCCCTGCCGTCCCTCCCTGCCCTCCTCTCCACCCTCCCTGTCCCTACCGTCAAAGGTCCTTCTCCCCCCTCCCTGCCCTCCTCTCCACCCCTGCACGCCCTTCCCTCACCGTCAAAGGTCAGCGTGCAGATCCCAGAGCCGACTGCCTTCGTCCTGGTGTCGTCCATGCCGTGGGGGCCGAACGAGAAACAGGACGGCGCTGACGTCGATCTGGCGGTCCTGGAGATATTCGACACGGGCTTTGCCGAGCTCCTTCAGGACGGGTGGCGTCCATCCAAGAAACAATTGCGTAAACAGAAACTTTCGGAGGACGGCGCGGATTTCTTGTATCGGCGCTGGGCACCCCGGCGCCGACCCGCGCGCCAGGGAGGGACGCCCAGCGCCGATCCAAGACATGCGCGCCGTCCTCCGAGAGTGAATGTCATGCAGTGTTTTGCTCCTCTGGTCCACCAACTGGAAATCATAGCGGTGGTGGTACATCCTTCATCGAAAGCAAACGCAATTACTTCCCACGGCATGGCGACCAATGTTGACGCCGAGCATGCGTGTTGGTGATGAGAGTGTAAACGACGATGCCGATGCCCATGTCCGATTATGATGTCGATGCTTATTATGATGTTGATACTGCTGCTGCTGCTGCTGCTGCTGCTGCTGCTGATGATGATGATGATGATGATGATGATGATGATATGATGCTGCTGATGATGATGATGCTAATGACGATGATGATGCTGGTGATGATGATGCTGGTGATGATGATGATGCTGATGCTGATGCTGATGATGGTGATGATGATGATGATGATGATGATGATGATGATGATGATGATGATGATGATGATGATGATGCCTGGTATTGGTGAAGCCCTGTCGATCTTCCTTCACATTCTCCACTCGAGTCCTCATCGAGTCTTGATTGTGCCGCATTTTTGTGTTTCCCGTGCCCATTCCCTCGTCCGCCCACTTTCCCTTGTTGCCTGCCTCTTTCATTCACCTTGTGGACTCTTGCAGGAGGCTCGTCGTGTACACGGACTCGTGCGGAAGCAGGCCGGGTTTTCTTGTCGCAGGAATAGGAGGAAAATGGATGATGAGTGATGGAGAGGGCGGGGGATGACGGGATTTGAGAAGGAGGATGAAGAGGAGGAGGAGGTGGAGGAGGGGAGGAAGATGAGGAGGGCATGACAAAAGGAGGCGTTGGAGGAAGAGGGGGCAGAATATGGACGAAGTGGTGTACGATGAGGAACCTTCCGCTCCCTCCCTCCCTTCCCTCCGTCCAGTTTTTCGCCTTGCCCCCCTCCTGCCTGCAGGAGGCCCGTGCCAGACCGCAAAACAGAACAGCCGCCAGTGGTTTATCGCGCTGGTGATGGCAACGCCGGAGCTCGAAGAAAAAGCATCTGCATAGATATATATTTTTTCAGAGGCGCTCGCGGATTTCTTGGATCGGCAGTGCAGCCCCTCCTCCTGGCGCTCGGGGCGCGCCAGCGACGGCGGAGGCGCCGCCAGGGGGAGCAGCGCAACTCCGAGAACTCCGTGAGGAGCTGCGGACGTTTATGTTCGTGCCGTTGCTTCTTCCTCCAGGAGCCAGCGAGCGACAACACCCAGCCGTTCGCCCTAGGTGTCGGGCTGGCCGCCGACAGTAACCTTGCCAAGGCAGTGGGGGTCGGATGGGGTAAGGACAATGATACATCCATTCCAAAGCGTTCCGGAACGCTCTCAGAGCTTGTCGGAACGTTCCGAGGAGTTCGCGGCGCCCGAGACATCCGCCAGAGCCGTATGGTTTCAGAGATTCTCGATTTATCCTCACACGATGTTGTCCTTGTCCTGGTTTCGTCTTGCATAGGGGGGGCGAGGCCCAACGGGGGTCGTGGGCACTTGGCGAGCGAGGGATGCGCGCTGAGGGTCATGCAGGCGCAACTGTTGTGCGACGATGACGGCAGGCCTGATCTAGCAGCGGTAAGAAAGAAGAAGGGCAGAAATGACAATGAGAAAATACGAGTAGAGCATGCAGAGTATGCCGCAACGCAGATGTTGCTGCCTTTCCTCGTGGCCGCGCGCGCCGTCGCGCGATGGGGGGCGGCCTTGGGCTGCTAAGAGGGCCCGTAGCTTCTTGGAAGCCATCCCCGCTTCTTGAAAGCCTTCTTGGAAGGGAAAGGGGGGGGAGGAGGGGGGGAGGGGGGGGGAGGGGGAGGAGGGGGAGGGGGAGGAGGAGGAGGAGGAGGAGGAGGAGGAGGAGGAGGAGGAGGAGGAGGGAGGGGAAGCAAGTGAGGGGGAGGACCTCAATGCCTTTCTGAGAAGGCCCCCGCTCTTTCTCAGAAGGCCCTCTCCTCCTGAGAAGCATACCGCCTTCTCGTGCTGCCAATTTTCTTTGTCCGCGTTTTCCTCTTCATCCCCATCTGGGAAAAATCTGGCTACTGCAAACATGGATCAAGGGGGCGTGGATTAGCGACGGGTACCGTGTCCATGCGAAATCGCGGATTCCCGCCGCCTGGCGAGGCGGCACCGGCCGCATTTTGGGGAGGGCATTTCCTCCGATCCATGCTTGGATTTGGCCACCGCACGCCAAATCCATGGAATCGCTAATCCATGTTTGCGCGCCCCCGAAGTGTTCCTTTTCCGCATGTTCCTCTGCAACAAAGGGCCAGTCGAGACGGAGGCGACCATACCTGGCGTTTTTCGTCCCTTTTGGGGGGGGCCTCCTGGAGGCTTCTCGTCGCCACGGCTGGATCCGCTTCGAAATAGGGAGCCCACAAAGGACGTACGCGCCCAGCTATGTACATGAACACGGCCCCTCGATCCGCGAGACTGGCCGCGTGATACGACCATTTGCGCAATGCGTACTCTCGAAACCAGCGTGTATTCATGTGCGTGTACGTCCTTCGCTCCCGACGAGAAGCGGGTCAGGATGGTACCCAGGAGGGGTGCGGAGACTGATGTTGAGCGAATCCGGGCTGGGCGGGAGCCGACGTTTCCCCTCTGGCGCTTCTCCGACCATCCGTCTCCTCACCGTGGCCCCAGCGCTGGCAACAAACGTCGTTGATCGAAAAAGAAACGACGCCATAAACATAAACTTTCGGCGCTCCGCGCTGATTTCCTGGATCCGCGCCTGGGCCCCCGGGCGGCGCCTCCGGCGCCGCCCCTGGCGCGCTCCAGGGAGATGGGTCCAGGGCGAATCCCAGAATTCTGCGTGCAGCGCCAACAGTTTATGTTGATGTTTTTTTCCTTCTAGTTGAGCGCTAGATTTGGCTTGTTTTTTTATTGTGTGATTTGTTCGTTCTGAACGTGTTTTGATGTTCGTTCGCAACGATTGCGTAAACGACTCGGCAGGCCAAGCGATCTTGTTTTGTCTGGCTTTGTCTGCGACGCGTGCCGCGCGCTTGTTTTTGTTTTCCTCGCGCGAGTTATTTGCACTGTTTTATGTTAGTGTTATTCTTAATCGGGCATGTCCCTCTACAGGAGGAGTATTCAAAGTAAGAGAAAAACACAGGGGACGCTTTGTTGACTATTTGTGTTTTTTTACAGTTGTTTTGAATATCTGTTCATCCGGAATCCGCCTGTAGGAGGACATACCAGACCAACTTCTATTCTGGAGCAACGATTTGTTGGCCTCGCTCTGCTCTGCTTCTCCGCGGGCCCCAGGGGTTTCGCGCGACGCCCAAAGAACGATGGTAAGGTGTTCGCGCGGAGCCCAGGGAGTTCAGAGGAGGACTCTCGCAAGGAGCCCGAGGAGTTAGGATAATGCTTTTGAGAGGGGCCCAATCGGTTAGGATCACGTCATGGAATTAGGATGCGGTTTTCGCGGGGAGCCCAAGGAGATCGGACGAGGATTTTCGTGAGGAGCCCGAGGCATTAGTATCAGGTGTTCGTTAGTTCCCCAAGGAGTTAGCAGACGTTTTTCGCGTGGAGCTCAAGGCGTCAAGATAAGGTTTCTGCGGGGAGCCCAGGGAGTTCTGCTGAGGATTTTCATGAGGAGCCCGAGGAGTTGCTCAATGTGCTTGCACGTAATTGCCTCAATGAGTTCGGACAAGGTTGCCGCTGGGAGTCCAATGGGTTAGGACAAGGTTTTCGCGGGCAACCCGAGGAGTTCAGATGGGATATTCGCTAGCAGCCCTGGGAGTTTCACGATGTTTCCATAAAGGGCTCCAACAGGTGAGGGTAACGTTTCCGTAGGGGGGCAATGAGCCAGGATAAGGTCTTCTCGGGGAACCCAAGGAGTTCAGATGTGGATTTTCGTAAGGAGCCCGCGAATACAGCACGATGTTCTCACAATGGGCCCAATGAGTTAGGATAAGCTTTTCGTAGGGAGGCCAAGGAGAGGATATGGCTTCAGCGGGGATCCCAAGGAGATCGGACGAGGATTTTGGTGAGGAGTCATGATCCTGTTTTTGTCAGTGCCCCAGTGACTTAGGATGAGGTTGTCGTAGGGAGCTCAAGGAGTAGTATAATGTTTTCGGTGGGGGCTCAAGGAATTCGGATGAGCATTTTTGAAAGGGGCCGGGGGGGTTATCCAGGGTGCCCCGGGTTTCTTGAGGAAAGTTGTTTGGGGGCGTGGACGTCCTGGGGTGGACGTCCTGGGGTCTCAGGGTTGGGTTTCTTGCGGAAGGTTCCTTGTGGCCGAGCTGCTTCTGTCAGGTTTTCTTTGCGGGGTGCCGAAAGAGTTAGGACCAGTTGTTCGCGGGAGGCCGTAGGCATTCAGATGCGGATTTTTGCGAGGCGCGATGAGCCCGGAGAGTTTGCACAGCGTCAGGTAAAGGTGCTCGAATGGAGCCCGAGGGGTAAAGATAGGTTTTTTTCGCTGGGAGCCCATCGAAGTTTAGACAGGGATGTTCGTGAGGAGCCCGGGGAGTCAGGAGAAGGCTTTCGTTCGTGAACCAGGGCGTCAGGATAAGGCTTTTGCGGAAGCCCAAGGAGTTAGGATCAGGTTTTCTCTGGGAGCCCAATCAGTTCAGATGGTGATTCTCCTGAGGAGCCGGAGGCCCAAGGCGTTAGAATAAGGTTGTCTCAGGGAGCCCAGGGAGTTAGGAAAAGGTTTTCGCTGGGAGCCCAGGGAGTTCAGATGATGATTATCGGATTATCGCGAGTAGCCCGAGGAGTTAGGATACGGTTTTCGTTAGTGGCCCAATGCGTTAAGACAAGGTTTCCGCATTGGTCCCACGGGGTTCAGAGGAGGCTGTTCGTGAGGAACCCGAGGAGTCAGTGTAAGGCTTTCGTTGGTGGCCCAAGGCGCTAAGATCAGGTTTTCACAGGCTGTCCTAGGAGTTGGGTAGGGTGTTCGCTGGGATCCCAAGGAATTCTAGACGCTTCGCGTATCCCCACCAGCCCGTCCAGAAACGACGCCCAGGCAAGTAGAGGGTCGTCCTGAGGGGCTTTTCGGCGTCTTGGGTGCCTCGGGGGGGTCTCTGTGGGCCGTTCGGGATCCTCTTTGGGGCCTCCTGGGGGCCTCTTGGGGCCTCTTGGGGCCATCTTGGGGCCTTTGGGGGCCTCCTGGGCGCTTCTTGGGGCCATCTTTGCCCCCTCAGGAGGCCAACATGGGGCCACAATCTCAGTAAAATCAATGATTTTGGCTTCCTCGCCGAGGCCGTTTTGGACGCTCTGACCGCTCGCGGCCCCTCCTGTCCAGGTCAGTGGGGAGGGGGTAGGGGGAGGGGTAAACCCCTCCCCGAAGGGGAAGAGGGAGGGGTGGAAGAGGAAACGCCCTAAACCACCGACGCCCAGAGGGCTGGTGGGATTTCAGATGGGGATAATCGTGAGATGCCCCGGGAGTTAGGAGAAAGTGTTCGTTAGTGGCCCGCAGCATTATGAGAAGGCTTTCCTAGGGAGCCCAAGGAGTTAGCATACGGTTTTCGCTGTTAGCCACTAGCGAATATTTTATCTTAACTCCTTGGGCGCCTTGCGAAAATCTTCATGTCAGTTGCTTGGACGCCCAGCGCACATATCATTCCAACGCCCCATGCGAACACCTTATCAGAACTCCTCGGGCTCCTCATGAAAAGCATCATCTGAACTCCTTGGGCTCCCAGCGAACACCTTATCCTAACTCCTCGCCCCCCATTTGCGACAACAGAATCCGAACGCCTTGGGCCACTAACGAAAACCCTATCCTAATTCCTTGGGCGCCTCAAGATCATTCTAACTGAACTCCCTGGACTTCCAGCCATCAACCTAAGCCTAGTTCCTTGGGCTGTCTACGACAACTAACGCCTTGGCCACGAACGAAAACCTTCTCCTGACTCCAGGGGCTCCTGGCGAAAATCCCCGTCTGATTTCCTTGGGTTCTCAGCGAACACTTTATCCGAATTCTTTGGGTTCCCTATGAAACCTTCTCCTAACGCCTTCTGCCACCAACACAACATTATCCTGGCCCCTCCAGTCAGTTTCTCAAGAGCAGCATCCCCTGAATTCCTTGGGCCCTCATCGAACACCAAATCTAAACTTTTTGTGCCCCTTGCAAAACCTTCTCCTGACGCCTTGGACCATTAACGAGAACCTTCTGCTGCATCCTCGGGCTCCTCATGATAATCCTCATCTAAATTCCTTGGGCTCCCTGCGAAATCTTGTCCTCACTTCTTGGGCCTTCTCCCGAAACCTGATCTTGATACTTTCGCCACCTACGAACACCTCACCTTCGCTTCCTCGGGCTCCCCACGAAACCT